GTCCTTACCACCGAATGCCATTCAACTTTAGGAAATATTCAAATTCCCTGCTGGTAAATGATCGCCCATTTCTGTGACCGACACTTCCAGCAGTCCATGAATTGCAAAAGACGCTTGCAGCTTTTCAATTATCATCCCCATGTTTGACGAGTAAACTCTATGCACATCCAACTACTTTGAATGGGTGACTACAATGATTAAAAACATAGGATCTGCATAGTTGACGTGCAACTGAGTCCAGGGTTTACCCGGCCATTCCCATAGATGGGGGGGGAGCTCCTGGCAATTTTTATCCTTGTTGGTACTCTGGGCACTACCCACCAATGCAGCTATGTCAGCATCCAATCCTGGCAAACTCCTCACCAACCTCTTCATTTTGGAAACCCTTGGATGGCCCTAGTTGAGTTCACCCAGTATCTGGCAGCGATCTCTGCTCGGCTCAATCATACCTGCTCCCCATAATAAAATGCCATCCTCTACTGGTCTTGCCATGTCCAGAAATGTTTCAGTTCTGGTTGTGATGGCCCTTTTGTTTCCCCCATCATCACCAGTTGTTTTAGTTTTAGGATGGGATCTTTTTGTGTCCACAGTCTGACATTGTCAGCGGTGACCAGAAGAGTGTCCAGAAAGTTTAAAACCAGAACAAACTCTTCTAGTGGCAGCACCACCGGTGGTGTATCCGCCAGTGGGAAGCAGCTCAAGGCATCTGCATTTACCACTTGGCCTCCTGGATGGTGTTCCAATTTGTAATTGTGCGCACTCAGAATAAGAGCCCACCGCTGAACTCAACCTGAAGCAACGGCCCTGTTCTCTTTAAGTAGCCTCAGCAGGGGTTTGTGGTCCATTACTATTACAAATTTATATCCATGAAGGTATTGGTGGAACTTTCTCACTCCAAAGACAACCACCAAACCTTCCTTCTCTACCTGGGTGTATCTTCGTTCGGCACTAGTCAAAGTCCAGGAAGCATATGTTATCGGGCGTTCCTCTCTGTTGGGCCAGGGGTGAGCCAACACTACCCCCATACTGTATGGGGAGGCATTGCATGTAAGCACCACATCTTGTGCAGGATCATGGTGTGCCAACACCTTAGATGACAATAGCTGCTTCACTTCCCTAAGGCTACATCTTGGCTATGAGACCTTTTCCAAGGCTGACCCCTTTTCAATAGCAGGTGCAATGGTTCCAGGTTGGAGGCCAGGCTATGTATGAATTTTCTGTAATAATTCACCAATGCAAGGAAAGACCTCAGCTGCGGTACAGATATGTGAGCTGGGACACATTTGATCGCCCTCACTTTATGTTCCAACAGATGTAACCCAGTCTTATCAACTCTGTAGCACAAGTAGGTCCCTTAGGGTGCCTGTAATACACATTCTTCCCTTTTAAGATGTACCCCACCTTAGAGAAACATTTAAGCACTATGTCCAAGTTCTCTAAATGCTCTTTATTGGTCTTCCTGGTTATTAGCACGTAATCCAGATAAATAATGACCTGGAGCAGACCTTGTAAAATGTTCTTCATCATCTGCAGGAAAATGGCTCAGGGTGATGATACCACAGAAGCCATACTTTATATTGGTACAAACCCTTATGGGTATTAATTGTGGCATACTTCTGGGAATCCTCAACTAATCGCAATTGCAGGTACATATGGCTCGTGTCCAACTTTGTAAGGGGCAGCAGCTCCCCCCCACAAACCATCAATTTTGCATTAACTTCCTCTATGTGAGGGACTGGGTATCTATCCAGCTGTGAAAAGTGGTTTACCATTTGTTTGAAATCCCCGCAAAAGCAAACTGACCCGTTGGGCTTCACAATGGGTCTGACCGGTGATGCCCATTCCACAAACTGTACTGATTTGATGATTCCTTCACTTTCCAACCTCCTGATTTCTTCCTCTACTTTTGCACGCAAGGCAAATGGCATTGAGCGGGTCTTGCAGAATCGTGGGATTACTTCTTGGTCGACATAGAGTCATAGAGTAATACAGCATGGAAACGGGCCCTTTGGACATGTAAGGTGGCCTTGGCCTCTGTGATGATCCTTAGCCCTTCCTGAGAAACTTCCAGGTATTTAATTAGAACTTCACTCAGGTGGCAATTTTCTAATCAAAAAATGTTGAGCCAATCAAGTTGAATCTCAACCAATTCTGCCCCAATAAGCTTGGGCCTGAGCCTTTTATTACAATCAATGGTAACTGAACCATCTGCTTCTCATTTCTGAAGAAGGGTCCTGACCCTTTCCTGCTCCTCTGATGCTGCCTGGCCTGCTGTGTTCCTCTAGCTCCACACTGTGTTATCTTAGACTCCAGCATCGGCAGTTCTTACTATCTCTGCTTCTCATAATAGACTGGAACCGAAGCTGTACCCTTAATCTGTAGGGATTCCCTGGTAATAGGTTCACGGCCTGACTGTGGTCTTATGCAAACTTAACGGTTGGAGTCCAGAACAAATTTTGGTAAAGGCTGGCTCCGCAGTCACTGATAAATCCGCACCAATATTGACCTCCATTAGAACCAGCTGATCATTTAACCAGATGTTTATTTTGACTGGTTCTGATTTAGATGTCGCTAAGCAATTTAACTGCTCCAAATCAGCTGTAGGTGAGTTTTCCAGGGTGTGCACTCTCCTGTAAACCAGCCTATGAGTTTTCTTACTCAATTTATGTCTACTGGGGGACAAAAATGGAAACTGCTGGAAAAGCTCAGCAGGTCTGGCAGCATCCATGGAGAGAAATCAGACTTAAGGTTTCAGAATGAGTGGCCCTTCCTCAGAACAGGTCTGTTGGGACTCTTTTGCTGTCACGAGTCTGCATACCGGCAGCAACTACAATGGCCTGCCACCCCGGATCTTTGAGAAAATTTTAACCGTTTGGCCGAGGCTTAGCTTTGTTTTGGGGTTTTGCTGTGGGCTCACCTAGAGTCCTGCTGTTCAGGATATGTCCTAAGTGAGGCTATGCAATTACCTTCACTCAAGTTCCACAGGCTCAATCGGCCTGGCCAGGTTGTCCATCTCTGTAACTCATAAGCTCCACTTGCCACATTTTCTAATGATAAAGCCAATTGTAGTGCCTGTTTGAAGTCCAGTTAGGCTTCAGCTAGTCAGAGCTTTTGCATGGTCACATCATTAATCCCACGTAGCAAATGGTCTCTCAACATCTCACTTAGGGTTAAACTAAAATCACATGCCTCTGCCAGTTGTCTTAACATTGTCAAAAATCCCAATTTCCCCTGGTTCTTGAAAGCCAACCAAAACCAATAGCATCTCAGAATTAGAGGAGGCTTGAGGTCATAATATTCCTTAGCTAAACCCGTCAACTCTTGAAAGCTTGTAGTATCTGGTACCTCAGGGAAATTTAGGCTCCTAATAATCAAAAAAGCTGCAGGTCCAAAGCTGTCAGGAGAATTACTTGTTGCATCCAATGTATTTGTCCAGAAAAAAATAACATATTCTTCCCACATACTGGGCTCGGTCTTCAATGGCACAATCGAACAAGTCAAGCTTCCCAAATAATGATATGAAGCCAGAAATGCTTACTCCAACTCAAAGATGACTGTCGCAAGTGAATTTCTTCAGGGGCGTGTTTATCTCTTGTCACTGTTGAAATAACTCCATGAAGGGCAGGATGCCATCACAAAGTCGCCCTTTATTTACACATGCATAGTACATGACACTGACCCAACTAGCTCAGAGCTGGCTTCTAGAGTGATCAGAAACACTGACTCTCCTGTTTATATCTGTCAGTCAGGGCTCTCTGTTTGGACCAGGTTATGAGATCCACCTGGATTACCTCATTCCAATCACTACACCTGTGACTGTCGACTGCTCAGTAGATCTCTTGGCCTCTCTTGAGAACCTATTTGGCTTGTGTTAAAGACTCTTGCTGTTGCAGTATGAGCCATTAGGAATATATATGCCCCAGATTTGACCCCTGGTCTGGGATTGTAGTCTCAGTGTGTAGAAATGATTTAGATTAGGACCTATGGAGAATGATCTCAAAATTAGTTGGTGATACAAATTAGACATTCAGCACATAAAGAGCATTAGGAGAAGGACTGGGCTTGAGAAAATTAGATCATGTTGATTTGTACTTCAACCTCATTTATCTACCTTTAAGAAAGTAAGAACATAAGAAATAGGTGGCCATACTGCCTTATCAAGCCTGCTTCATCATTCAATAAGATCTTGAATGAACTTCCACCTGAATTCTACCCCATCCAATAGATCATGGCCTTCACTTTCCTATGTACTCCTCAGAACCTTGTGGATCAAAAATCTGTCTAACTCAGCCTTGAATATATTCAGTACCCCAGTCTCTGCTGCTCTTCGTAGAAGGTAATTAAGAAGATGAGAGAAGAAATTCCTCCTCATCTCCATCTTTAATGGGAGACCCCTTATTATGAAACACTGCCCTGTAGTTCTAGGCTCCACCATAAGGAGAAACATGGTCTCAGTATCTACCCCTTCAAGCCCCCGCAGATTTCATTAAGATCATTTCTCATTATTCAAAATACCAATGGATATAGGCTGAACATGCTCAACATTTCTTCCGAAGTCAACCCCTATAACTTGTGACTTATGCAATAATGAGCCTTCAGTGAATTGCTTCTGACATAAGTATATCCTCCCCTTTAAGTCTGGACATCAAAACTGTACACAATGCTCTCAGTGCAATCTCACCAGAGCCCTGTACAGTTCAGAAACTGTTTCCTCCAGCTACAGAGTCTGGAGCCAGGGGTCATCATCTCAGGACACAGGATCATCTATATCGGACTGAGGTGAAGAGAAAATTTTTGGAATCAGTCTCCTGCCAGGGTTGCAATAAGGGGTCTTGAAAATAAATATTCATTGTTCCCCACTGGCAACCACAAAGCCCAACAGTGGCATCTTATTAAAATGCATAACATAAAACTTGACCTGTTCCTTTTCAGATCTTTCTACGTGCCTAGAAATTGAAGTTGAGAAATTAATCTTCTCTTTGGATGGTTACAAGGCTATAATGGATGTCCTGCATGGATTGTTAAACACACGGTGGCTGCAGTCACTGCTGAAGGTAACAAGCATCTTGGGAAAGCCTCGCATCAGAGAAACTCCTGTGGACTTCTTCACCAACACTGTGGGTCTGCCCTCCTAGTACCTGCAGGGAGTACCCTCTTTGCAGGGTTAACAATCTAGCCTCTTACCTGATCCAATAGATAAGTTAATCGAAGAATGAAACATGCTGTTGTTTTGATTTTTGACTCATGTTTAAACATGCATTTTAGACATGAGGAAGTTTGGTTGGCTGACAAAGAAAATGCAGAAATGGTTCATAAAGTACTTCTGGTTTAGCAATAAATAGAAACACAAACTGGGCAAACTCAGGACTGACCCTGAATGACACAAACACAAAATTGGCTAAGGATCGGAAAGCATAGAGTGAGAAGAATGGCTGTTTGTCAGACTGGATGGAGGTGCACAATGGAGTCACCCAAGGCTCAGTGCTGAAACCACTGTTCTTTCTGAGATACTTTAATGATTGATGCACAGGGCACAATTTCAAAATTGAAAATGACACAAAGTGTAACAAACAGTGAGGAATGATGATAATTTTCAAGAGGACATAGACTAGGGTAGTGCGGTGGGCAGACACATGGCAACTGAAATCAATGCAGAAATCTGTGCAATGATACACTTTGGCAGGATTACAAGGAGAGAAATTACAGTATCTGCTATACAGTACAAATTAAAGCAGCTTCTCAAGATGGAGACAAAGGAAATCTATTTTAAAATTTATTCTTTCATGACTTCGTTGACAAGACCCACATCCAATTTGTTGCCCATCACTAAGTGTCCCTTCAGGGGAGTTCAAAGTCAACCACATTTTTGTGGGCCTGGAGTCACATGTTGGTCAGATCAGGTGAGGATGGCAGATTTCCTTCCCTCAAGATCAAGTGATGACGGTTTTGTGTTCACTATTACAAGACATGCTTTCATTCCAGATTTGTTTTTGGTAAATTAAATTTATTCAGTCATTGAACTTAAATTCCACTTGCTGATAATGTGGAATTGAAACCTCTGACTCCAGAGCATAAGCTTGGCCTAGACTACTAGTCTACTGACAAACTTTTGGAACTCTGCAGATATTTAAAGATTTCTCCCTTGTTTGTCCAGGTCTATGAGAGTCTTCATCAGTACCTGAGGAAGAGACCACAGCCTGTCCTGCCAAGAGCATCTGAACTTTGCCGAGAGGTGAGAGCAAGCTTTCTTATTTCACAAAAGGCCTTAGATTCAAAGGTCTTCATCCCATCTCACACATCCCCTATGGAACAAAAAAGCCATCACTTTTCCAACATTGAAACTATGAAAAGATATCACTGAATAATAGCTTTATGAGAGGGCATTTGGAACAGTCACACTCTACTTCCTGTGAGTTGACCCAGAGTGAGAAACTGTGCCTGATTTAGCACGATTGAGAGCAATTGCTCTAGATGGCCATGGATGGTGGAGTGGGGATGGTACATTGTCAGTAGGCTGGCAACGAGGCACCTTCTTGGGATTGTTTACAAGAAGCTTTATAAAGTATTTAATCCTGTGTTGTACTTGCCTTGGGAGAGCTTGTGTGCAGGGAATTTTATTAACCATTTGCTGTAACTGCCCTTCAGTATTTGATGGGACGGTCTGGAAGAAGCTTTACTTTGTATCTCACCTATGCAACTTCTGCTCTGGAAATGTTGGATAAGATAGTTTTTGGAGAGCTTTACTGTAAGATTGCATTCTCCCTCCATAGGTCGGGTGCATATCCCACTTCACCTGGTGAAGTTGACTTTGTCCAAGGTTCACAGAGCTAAGTCTGATCAGGAGCAGGGAATACTAGGAAGTGTACATTGCTTGGTCGGGACACATGGATAGATTGGGAGACACTAGAGATTGGGAGTCACCAGTCTACATTCCAGGACCCATGCCTAAAATTGACCCATCTTTCATGGTGGTAGACAAAGTGGTCCTATTAGGCGAATGACTTAGCTTCAAGTTCCCATCATCACTCACAGAATCATAGAGCCATACAGCATGGAAACAGACCTTTTGGTCCAACCAGTCCATGCCGAACATAATCCCAAACTATACTAGTCCCACCTGCCTGTGTGTGGCCCATATTCCTCTAAACATTTCTTACTCATGTACTTATCCAAATGTCTTTTAAATGTTGTAACTGCTGTATCCTCATCCACCATTTCCACACCACTGTGTTAAAAAAGTTTCCCCTCATGTTGTTTTTAAATCTTTCCCCTCTCAGCTTAAAAATATGCCCCTTAATATAGAAATCCCCCACCATAGGGGAAAGACACCTGCCATTCACTTTATCTATACCTCTCATGATTTTAAAAACCTCTATAAAGTCAACCTCCAAGCTCCATTTAAAAAACTCCCAGCCTATCCAGCCTCGCCAATAACCCCATTCCCAGCAATTTCATGGTAAATCTTTTCTTAACCCTCTCCAGCTTGATAATATCTTTCCTATAACAGTGCGACCAGAGCTGGACACAGTACTCCAGAATAGGCCTCACCAATGTCCTGCAAAGCATCAACATGACTTCCCAACTTCTATACTCAAAGGAGTGAGCAATGAAGGCAAGGGTACAAAACGCCTTCTTAACTACCCAGGTCTGCTTCTCTTTCTTGCTCATAATTAAGTGTGAGTTCTCATTCTGTTCTTCTGACTCTGTATTCTACTTTTGTTGTTAACATACACTTTCCATTTGAACTGTAGCCATGTGGGTGTACGGATCTGTATATGTGCATGTGTCCGAATGAGTTTTGGTTCTGTGTTTGTATACAGGTCTGTGTGTACATGCATGCGCATATGTATGTGCATGTGTGTCCTGTGTGTGGGTCTGTGTTTTGTCGGTATATGAGGGACACTAAGTATGTGTATGATTCATTGCATGTGTGTATTGTTCTGTGTGTGTGCACGCGCGCGTGTGGTTTTGCATCTTTGTAAAGTTTGTGTGTCCTGCTCAGTGTATCTTTGTTCTGTGTTGCAGATTTGTTTGGGTTTCTACATGTGTTAGTGTGTGTTTGTGTGTCTTGACCTTTATAGGTGACAGAAATGCTCAGAGAAACTTCTCGGTCTATGGACTTTCGAGAACTGTACTGGCTCCTTGGAAAACCTGATTTCCAGGTAGGAGTATTCAGCATTGAGCAACTCTACCTGAATTATTTATCCAGCAGTAATCACGACTGTTAGGCCCTTACCCTACACCCATCTCTTGGATCGTCCATGATTCCATGGCCCTTCATAACCCCTTCATACCCTTTCCATACCCCCTCCATTACCTTTATGTCACTCCATGCACTACCTACATTCCCCATATCCACTTTTTCAGTCCTCTACGCACAGAAACAATAATGCCAATAAGCCATTGGCAAGTTTGTTAAGTCTTTGAAATACTCCTTAAAGTGACAACATTGGCAAATACACTTTGAAAACTATTTTGAAAAGAAAACTGCACATCTTACAACCTCATAAAAATGTTATTCTCACAACATTTGCCCACTCTCCTCTTTCTTCAGCTGTCCCTCTCGACCAAGGATGACATTCTTCTACTCAGATATTTTTGGTCCTGCGGTGACTAGACAGCGCAATGCTGGATCCACATATCCTGCCACAGGTGGGGCAGGCACCAACTAAAGAAGTGGCTGGGAGGGATGCATGGGTTTTTGCCCATTCCTTCCATTGTTTGTACTTGGCCTCCACCTGGTCCTTTCAGAGATGCTCGAGATGATTATCACTTTCTTGGATACTTCTTTTCCAGTTTGGGCAGATTCGGTCAAGCAGTTCCCAAAAGTTGGTGGAGATATTGCACTTTTCCAGGAAGGCTTTGAGGATGTCCTTGAAGCAGTTTCTCTCCCCTGGATTGGCTTTTCAGCCTCATGTTGGGCTGGCGTTATGCTGAGATGGTGATGCATAGCATGCTGTGGCATGTTATCCAGGACACTCACATTAAGGACTGAATTGGGGTTGAGGAGTTCCTCAAAGTATTCCTTCCAATCAGAAGCAGCACGGTGCCACAGTGGTTAGCACTGCTGCCTCACAGCACCAGGGACCTGGGTTTGATTCCATCCTTTGGGTGATTTGGTTTCCTCCCACAGTCCAAAGGTCTGCAGGTTAGATGGATTGGCCATGTTAAATTACCCCATCATGTCTGGGGATGTGTAGCCTACGTGGGTTAGAAGTGACTGCTTGCTTGTCCTTGAAAGGTTTCAATCTTTTCTTAGCTCTTGGTGGGGTAGGTCCTTGTGCCGTACTCGGACTTGACTGCATCGAGATTCTACACACGTTATGGCTGTTGGTGACTTTCTGTATTTCCTGCATTCTTTCTGCTCACCATCTGTTCTTTAGGTCACAGGTTTGTTTTTATTGGATGTTAGCCTTCATTTGTCCATAGACCTGCTTTCTTGCCTTCAAGTTCCAGTGGTGCTTCCTATTCAGGAACTCCTTACTGTGGTGATTCCCATTAAACTAGTCTTGATGTTTCTGGTTGAGAAACCTAGAATCTCTTGCGCAAGTGTTGTTTATGACAGATTTCAGGCAGTCTGGGAGCTATGGTTCCAATTCATTTAGCATCATCAGGTTAACGGTGACACATTGACTGAGTTAGTCTTTCTTCACGGAGTCCTTGAGTCCATCGACATTGAACTGCTGCCACTGCAGTTTTTGGACTAGTTGATGAAGTCAGAAGACTGGATTAGGGCATGATTGATCCAGCAATCATCAGCTCCTATCATGGTGTGGGTGATGCAAACATACTTGTTGTCTCTTGCTTGGACAATGATGTAGAGAAGCTAGTCCTGGGCGAGGGTGTTGACATGAGGTCTTGTACTTGCTTCTCTGATGAAATGGGGCATTCATTATGATCAGACCATGCTTTAAGCATTTTATCAGGAAGAGGGCTGTGTTGGTGCTTGTCTTCCATATGCCTTCCTTGCCAATCACACCTTTCCAGAGATTTTATTTATTCATTAACGGGATAAGTGTGTCGCTGGCCAGGCAGCACTTATTGCCCATCCCTAATTGCCCAGAGGGCAGTTCAGAGTCAACCACGTTGCTGTGGGTCTGGAGTCACATGTAGGCCAGACCAAGGAAGGATGGCAGTTTCCTTCCCTAAAGGGAACCAGATGGGTTTTTGCGACAATTGACAGTGGATTCATGGTCATCATTAGATTCCAGATATTTTATTGAATTCAAATTCCACCATCTGTCGTGGCGGGATTCAAACCCAGATCCCCAGAACATTATCTGGGTCTCTGGACTAACAGTCCAGCGATAACACTACTAGGCCATCGCCTCCCTTCCAACTTGGGAATTGAAATTACCAAGGAACACAGGACAATGAGTGACTAAGGCTGGAGTAGAGATCCTCTTTAGGATCATTTGTTACTTCTAATGTTGGGCGTACACACTGATAACTGTGATGTACTGCTTCTGGGTTAGCATGAGCTGAAGAATTATGAGGAATTTGTTTATCCCATGGGAGGGCACTGATTGAAAAGATCAATTAATTTATTTTCTTTTATGGTGAAACCAACCCCATGGAGTTGGCATTCTTTCTCAGACTTAGCCTTCCTGAAGAAGGTGTATCCACCAACCTTGTTTTTTGAACTGATCTTCTCCTGCTGTGGCATCTCACTCAGTGGAGTGTTGTCAATGTCTTAGCACTGGGGTTTCTGGGCTATGTTAGGGGTGTGATGTTCAGGTGTGTCACGACTGAGGTTGTTCATGAGGGCCGTGTTGCTCCAGGTTGCAAACTTCATTTCAAAGGGATGGAAGATAGTTGTGTGTATATGGAGTGCCCATTGTTCACGGATGACAAGATGATCCTTATATCTATATCTATATCCAACAGCAGGGTTTGCTGAGGTTCAGGATACAGGCTCTGGTGCTTGGATGGGAACACACACACACACATACACACACACACACACACAAACTCATTCTGACTCACTCACTCACTGTCAGTCTCTCACTCTCTCACACACACACGCACACTTTTACACTCTCTCACACACTCTTTCACACTCTCTCACGCACACACTCTCACTCACTCACTCACGCTCTCACTCACTCATTCACTCACTCATTCATTCACTCACTCACTCATTCATTCACTCACTCATTCATCCACTCACTCACTCATTCACTCACTCACTCACTCACTCCTGGGAGCCTGAGGTCCTGCTTGCCTTTAGATTGGCATCAGAGTCGAGAGGGCACGCTATGTCAAACAACCGTATTAGACCAGCAAAGACTCATTGCTATTGCAGCAGCAAGTTGCATGCTTCTCAAAAGGCCAATAAGGTTCCTCCCCCTGCATTGATGCCACTTTCAGTTCCTGATGTCATGTTTCAAGCTCTAGGCTTTAGGCCTCACCTTCCCCCTCCACTACTCTAACTGATTTGGTTTGACTTCTCCTTGTCACTGATACTGAAGCTGCTCTCCCCAACCTGCTGCCATCACAGGGGCAAAAGGCTTGAATTCATTTCATCTCTGACCTGAGCAAATAAACACACAGATATTGAAAAAAAACTCATCAAAGAAAGATTTGGTTGTTACAAAGTAATAAAGGTGTCGATCAAAAAGAGCTAGCACTCCCCGTGACAACATTGCTTACAGGGTTGTGTCCGTTAATTCTTGGAGTGTAGCCATTGGTAGCTTTATCAAAGAAGCACTGAATAGTTGGACAGATAGAGTTTTTTCACGTGGCCTCAGTATGAATGCTTGGCTAATCTTTCTTTGAAGAGTTTGTTCTATACCAATGCGTTTACTGGGACAAGATTAAGAGGTGGGAAGTCAACCAAATGTTTTGTGGGGAGGACTTTCATTGTCTGTAGGTAATTAACAGCTTTATGCAAACTTAAGTTTTGTTTTATTCATTAATGGAACATGGGTATCACTGGTTAGGTCAGCATTTATTGCCCAATCCTACATGCTGCCCTTGAGAAGGTTCTGGTGAGCTGCCTTTATCGTTATTGCAGTCCATTTGGAGTAGGTACATTCACAATGGGAAGTTTCAGGATTTTTAACCAATGACACTGAATGAACAGAAATACGTTTCCAAGTCAGGGTGGCATGTGTCTTGGAGAGTAGTTTGCAAGTGGTGGTGTTCCTGTGTATCTACTGCCCTTGACCTTTTGGATGGTAGTGTTTGTGGATTTGGAAGATGCTATCTAGGGAGCCTTGTTGAATTTTTGCAATGCATCTTACAGATGGTGCACACTGCTGCTACTGAGTTTTGGTGGTGGAGGGAATAGATGTTTGTGCATAGGGTGCCAATCAAATGGGCTGCTTTGTCCTGGATGGTGTAAGCTTCTAAAATATTATTGGATCTGCACTCATTCCATCACACTCTTGATTTGACTCTTGTAGGTGATGGCTTGTAACTTTTTCAAAAATTGTGAGGCATGTTTGAAATGTCTACCCTTGCAAATAGAATAAGCAAGGCTGGGAGTACTGAGTGTCCGCATGCCACACACTCCTTTATAAAATACTGGCTAAAATTGCTAGAAACAGAAAAAGAGGTAGGAATCCTGGAACTGAGTCCATTTTTAAAGGGCACCCAGCTCAGTCTGACTCCATGAAAATCTAGAACTCTCACAATTTTAAGAATCTCTATTAGGTCACCTTTTAGTCCTCTTTTTTCAAGAAAAAAGAACTTCATCTATCCATCTGTTTCTGATTGGTATAATTTCGCAGTTTTGACATCTTCCTTCCCCATCCTCTTCCGTGGCTCAAAACCTTTTCTATAATATGGCCACCAGAACACTTATATTGGGTACAGAAGCCCACTGGCCATCTTGCTATATTGGTATTAGTCCGTACAACATGAGTTCTAAACCTGCTCCCATATCAGTTAGAGAAATTGGACATACCAATAGCTATAACATTTGGAAATAGAAAAGCTGGTATTAGTAAAAATGATGGTTGGATTTCCTGTTCTCTGTCAGGGACATAACCTGACATTCTTACATGGTCTGATCAAAATTTGACTTCAGCCCCACAACAAATTAGATGGACTCTTTACTTGATTATGAGGTAGTCAATTCTATTTGCTGACACTCTCTGTTTCTGATTTCCCAGTTTTTGTTCTTCCACAGGATATAGGTGTCACTAGATTAGGCCAGTATTTGTTTCCCTTCCCTGACTGACCTTGAGAAAATAGTGGTGAGATGCCTTCATGTATCACAGTATTCCATGTTGTGCAGGTAGACCCACTGACATATCCTTTCTTGCTCAGGGTTGTTGTTCATTGAATTTCAACACTTGTATACAGCTGAATTTGAACACAAAAGTGTTTACACCACTACCAATCACCCCGACCAGGAACACCATTAAAATTTAAGAAGACATATGATAATACATGTCAACAGACACAGAAGCATTGTGCTAATATGCATGCAAGGATATATACACCTAAAAGGGCTCATGTTGCTGCAGACGAGGACACATATGCATGCAATCATACCTATACACACAATTCCTTGAGTGTTTACGGGAATATAAATGTTCACATATGGACATATATTCAGAATCATGTGAAAGCACTACTGTGGATGCATAATCAGCCAAGAACATATACATTACATACATCAGCATATGTATGTATGCATGTGTTGTTTCCATGTGTGCGAGTACACATGAAACCATGTCTAAAGATGTAAATTCAACTCAGAGAGGTCTTGAGGAACGGAATTGATACTAGTCATCAAACCCTTCAATTTCCTGCAAACACTTAACAGCTGATGGCTGGATTGATTGACAGGCCCTGCTCTCTGCTCATGACACCGTGGCTCAGAAAGACTACGATCCCATCCTGCCTCCACTGCCAGATGACATCCCTGAAGATGAGGAAGCCTTGAGGATAGTGTGCCTGGTGAAAAACAAGCATCCTTTGGTAAGGACAAATGATATATAAGGGTGATACAGGGGAGTGTATTGTGCTTGTTTACTTTTCTGTGGTCAATAGATTGTTCTAAAAAAATGCTCAAATCTAACATTTTAATTTCTCTTATCCTCTCATTCAGAGTCTCTCCCCTTCTGCCTTTCACTCTCAGTCTTACAGTTTCGCTCTCAGCCTGTTAGTCTTTGTGTTAATTATGTGTGTGGGCTTGTTATGTAAGTGTTAAGTCACATGTGTGGATTAGTCACTTACATGGGTGGTTAACTTTAGAACAGCTAGCTGTCTGGTATTTGGGTTCGGCGACAGGGTTACAATCAATCTGAGTTTATTCAAGCCAGATTGTTTGGAGAAAGATATTGAGAGGGAAAGTAGGCTTGAGCCTCAGTCATTGCACCTGCCTATATAACCTCACTGGGGCTACAAAGTCATTGGCTAGATCTTGAGCAAAGATTGTCTCTTGGTACCTTGATACGTAAGCAATCTCTAGTGCAGCAACAAAAGTGATGAGTACATCAGAGGTAAGTCAGGAAGACAGAAGAGCAAACGAGCCACTGATTACACCTTGATCAGCCTGGTTGATATATCACTGTTCCTACCGTTGACACCATCCCAAGTGTTATCTATGAACTTCCAGATATATCAGGGTTAACTGACTGTTAAAGTAATTTTGGAGCTCTCAACAATTGTACTGCCCATGTATGAGGCTGTTTTCTCATCCTATACATAAGATGCTACACCAACCACATAGTGGTAATCAGCTATAGTGAAATTTGGGAGAGATCTGCAACAGACTCAAAATCTGTAACATCGCCTGTTTCTCTATGCAGGGAGCTACTATCAAATGTCATGAAGTGACAGGATCCATAGTGATAGCTCGGGTGATCCGTGGTGGTCTCGCAGATCGCAGTGGTGAGTAACTCCAAATGCAATTTGGTGGAGGCAGGGTAATTGTGCAAGAGTGTACAGGCTATGCTGTCAACACTCTTCAACAGATGAAGATCCTCACTATCCGTGCATGCTTAGAATATTGGTCCCCTCACGATGGGCTTAACTGCAGCCAGCATGGAATTGAGTACCAAGGATTTCCATCCTTGCAACAGGCAGTGATTGAGATTTTAACTTGGAGCAGGGTTCAGGAAGGCAGAAGGGGCAGTTGTTAAACACCTCTCAGCTTCATCACCTGTTGCTCCTGCTTCATACGAGGTTGGGCTGGGAACTACCAGCTGGCCTGGTTGGCAAGTTTTGAAGCTTGGGGCAGAGAAAAATGCTATCGACAGGAAGGTAAGTCATAGGGAGGGGTTTGGGGTGAACTCCCAAGACAGAATAGGGATGGCAAAGGAAAAGTCCAAAGGGGAGGCCTAAACGTTCTTTCTAAGGCCTGGAGGAGCGCTTCCCACACTTCTTAGTCTCACTCTATCAGAAGGTCAAGAGTGAGAATGTTTCCTGATAAATCAATCTTCATTCCCATTGGTAATTTCTCAGATAATGAAACAGTCTGTGTACAAATGCAGCAGGACTTACACAACAATCAAACTTTGGCTGATACGTGTCATGTAATATTTGTGCCACACAAGTGCCAGACAATTACCTTGTCCAAGAAATAATCTAACCATCTCCATTTGATACTCAATGGTATTGCTGTTGCTGAGTTCCCTCACCGTCAACATTCTGAAGGTTACCATTAACCAGATACTGAACTAGATCAGCCAAACAATTGCTGCAGCTACAAGAGAACGTCAGACCCTTGCAATGAGTAACTCACCTCCGGATACCTCAAAGCGTGTTCCATCATCTGCAAGACAAAAGTCAGGAGTGTGATGGAATATTCTCCACTTGCCTGATTGGTGCCGCTTCAACAATACTGAAGAAGCTCAATACCACCAAGGACAAAGCAGTCCACTTGATCTACCCACTCCTAAACATTCACTCCCTTCCACAAGTGGCAGCACATAGTGGCAGCAGTGGCTATGATGTATAAGATGCACTGCAGCAAATCAGAAATAGCTTCTTTAACAGCATCTTCTAAACCCACAACCTCTACCACTGAGAAGGTTGCCAGCATGGATCTACACTGGGGGTGGTTTGGCTCTACACAGTGGGCCAGTTGTGAGTGGGTAATGGCCCGGATTAAGGTTCTACAGCCAGACTATGAGGACCAGCAGGTGGGTTGGGTATATTCTCTGGCAGAATTTCCATTTTTAGTCATTGTTTATACTATAAATTCTGATGGGAACAATTGTAGAATTGAGAACAGCATTTTCTTACCTTAACTGGAGCCTGGAGAAGTGCATCTCAGGATCCTCAGCCTGGAGATCCTGTTGCAACCCACTTCTTTCTTGTCTCACTGGGTGTGCTGGTCATCGATACTTTGTGGGTGCTCTGAGAGATAGGGGTGACGGTGCTTGCATTAGACAAAGGTGTCATTATAATCCTTGCTGAGAAAGCAGGTAGTGAAATGCATGCTGCAGCTAGTCACATACTAACTGTACACTTGATGATGTGAAAACCCATGTCGCAGTGAGTATGGCAAAGTTTGTGTCCAAGACTTCATGTGATCCTAGAATCCGAACAAATCCCCAACTCCAGCTCCACTCCCCTAGACTCTATTCAGATTCTTCTACTTGCTTCATGGAATGAGCTAAAGGTGTTTGCATGACAATGTATCAGTCACTTGCGTGACACTTATGTGGACTGTAGATTAGCTAGTACTGATTATTCCACTATGGCTGGAAGAATATGGAATTATGAAATGGTGTCATTTGTGGGCTGCTGTGTGAGTCATGATATTAGCTGTGGACTCTAGGTACAGTGCAAAAAATAACTTCATGCACTGACACACTCTAATAGACATTCATGGTCTGTTGTTTCAGGATTGCTGTTTGCTGGGGATCAGTTGGTTGAAGTTAATGGAATACCTGTCACTGGGCTGGAGCCTGAACAGATCATTCAGCTTATGGTAACACTGGAAATGTAACGGCTATTTCTTTCATGGGATCTGTCCCAAGTGACAGTCAGCACCTTCAGAGGAGGAGGGGCCTGGTATTATAATGAAAGTCAGCACCTTCAGGAGAGGAGGGGTCCTGTTCCCAGTGAAAGTCAAAAGCTTTGGGGATGATGGAGGGAATAACAGAATCCTAGTTTTGTTTTAAGGCCAATGTCCTTAATACCTACAAACTACAGGGAAAGAAGGTTATTTCATAGAATCCCTACAGTGTGGAAACAGGCCCTTTGGCCCAACAAGTCCACACTGACCCTTGGAGCATCCTGCCCTGACCCATCCCCCTATAACCCACCTAACCTAACATCCCTGAACACTATGGGTAATTTAGCATGGCCAATCCACCTACCCTGCACACCTTTGGACTGTGGGAGGAAACCGGAGCACCAGGAGGAAACCCACGCAGGCACGGGGAGAATGTGCAAACTCCTGCCCGAGGGTGGAATCAAACCCAGGTCCCTGGCGCTGTGAGGCAGCAGTGCTAACCACTGAGTCACCATGCCGCCCTAATGGAATACCTGTCGCTGGGAAATTATATTTTCACCTGTCGTCAAATAGAATCAACAATGCACAGATTCCAATTCCCTATCTTAATATCTTGATCAGGTGGTCAAAGTGTAGGTACTGTCCTTACCTCTGAGCCGGAAGTCCTGGTTGAAATCCTCAGGACATGATGGCCATGGAAGGTGGGAACATTGAATGGCCAAGCAGTTTGATTGTCAACCTGTGAATCTTTGCAACACACCTCCAGCAGGCAGTAACAGCAGGAGAATCTCCTGGTCATCTAAAGATATTCAAAAACTGTAGCCTAATGCGAGCCATGATATGAGTAGCAAAGCTTTGGATGAATTGGCGCTTACAGAGGGTGAATGTTGAGAAACCAACTGGAGATCATTAGAGTATTTGAGGAGGCAACCCCTCCATCTTAAAAAACTCCACAGGTTTCACGGAAAGCATCCTCCTCATTTTGAGTCACTGCGCGAGAGGTAAGCAGGGCACCAACTGGGAGAAATCAGGCTCCATTCTTTAAATATATAGGTATCATTAGGATGCAATCTGTGAATTGAAGACCAACTGGGGAGCGTCAGACCGATCTCAATATGTGGCTTAAGTTGCCTGGAGTCAAATTGAGAGCCATAATGATCTAACTAAGCAGCAATAATGCATTTGGACAGAAAAAAAATTTGTATTTATATAGCACCTTTCATATCCACTGGACATTCCTAAACACTGTGCAGCCAGTGAGGTACCTTCTAAAGCTTGTTCCCTATAGTAAAGTAGGTAACATTGCTGCCAATTTACATATAGCAAGCTCCCACAAACTGCAATGTGACAATGGCCAGGTATCTATTTTTGTGAGGTTGATTGAAGGATGAATACTGTTCAAGACATTGGGGATAATGTTTATGTGAAACAGAATCTTTTACATACCCACCTGAAAGAGCAGATAGGGGTTTAAAGTTCCATCCCTGACAGTGCAGCACGCTCCCAGTATTGCACTGGAGTATCGGTCTAGATTCTTGGGCTCAGGTCTCTGGAGAGGGACTCAAACATGACTTTTCTGCCACAGAGGCAAGAGTCTTACTGTCCCTCGGCTGACAGGGTCACTCAACCTGTAGACAGGGCGCATGTACAGTCGGACAAAGGTCTCCCGGCTAAAACATTACTGAGGAACTATTTTACTCCTATTAAGTTGTATATTTTTACGACGTGTTTAATAAAACTGATAATTAATCCATTGCTTCTTCATACAGGGCAAGTCTGAAGCCAGTGTCGTGTTCAAGCTTATTCCAGTGTCACATCGGCCAAAGAGCTCTTCACAAAACACAGTAAGGCCTGTATCATAATGATATCCAAGTGCCTCTACCCAGGTTTATTTTACTACAACTCTCTGGTGTCTCTTTGTTGAGATATTTCTCACTGTCCCTGCATCTTACACTCTTACTGTTCCTCTCCAGCGTCACCTCTCTTCCCCATCATTATTCCCATTCTCACTCCCTCCAGCGCCTTGTCCCATTATTTCCCAGTAGGATATTGCAGGATATGCTTCAGCAGAAATATTTTAGATAATCTAGATGCTGGGGAATATACGCTGTGAAGAACTGTGTCAGTGTAGCTCAGCCAGGATAGGAATGGGTGAGTGCGGACTAATGCGAGCCATGATATGAGTAGCAAAGCTTTGGATGAATTGGGGCTTACAGAGGGTGAATGTTGAGAAACCAACTGGAGATCATTAGAATATTTGATTTTGGAGGTGACAAAGGCATATTTGAGGGTTTCAGTCACAATGGACTGAGGTGGATTTTGAAGAGGCACAGTCTCAGGATAAGAGGCTAATAATTCAGGACTAAGATGAAGAGAGGTTTTCTCACTAAAAGGTTGAGAATCTTTGGAATTCTCTGCCTCAGAGTGTTGTGGATGCTCCTTCAGTGAATATATTTAAAGCTGAGATAGACAGACAGATTTTTTGGGCTTTCAGGGAATCAAGGTATATGGAAACTGAGCAGGAAAGTGGAGTTGAACATCAAGATCAGCGGTAATCATGAGTGTTAGAGCAGACTCAACATGCTGTATAGTCTACTCCTGCTCCTATTTCTTGTTTCCAACAAATCATAGCTGATCTGGTGTCGCCTTAAGTCTACTTTGCTGTCTGTCTCCCACAACCCTTCACTCCTTTGTTGGTCAAAAATCTGCTTAACTCCGACTTGAACATATTCAAGGACTCGGTCTCTGCTGGGTTTGAAAGTTCCAAAGACTAATGCCTTCTTGACAGAAGAAATTCCTTCTCATCTCTGCCTTAAATGGATGCTGTTTTGAAATTGTACCCTCCTCATTTTAGATTCCCCCAAAGGGGAGACATCATCTCAGTATCTCCACATGCAAAGCCCCTTCAGAATCTTAAATGTTTCACCTCTCATTCCTCTAAATTTCTTTGAGTAAAGACGCAACCTGCTCAACCTTTCCTCATAAGATAACCAAGTGCTAAACTGCACTGACTCTTTCAGGATCTGGCTGATCTGTTGTGCATTTTCAGCAACCTGTATTTCTTGATCAGATTTGTCCATTTCTTCCATTTTGTTCTTTGTTTGATATATTTTAAACTGTTGATCACGCATGGTATTGCAGTTTCTCACAATTTCTCCTTCCCCGTAGCTTTATGTGAGATCACTGATAGATTACTGCCCGCAGTATGATCCTGCCATTCCTTGTCCGGAAGCTGGCCTGAGCTTCAGGAGAGGAGATATCCTGCAGGTTGTCGACCAGAATGATGCCCTGTGGTGGCAGGCCAAGAATATCACAACATCCTCGAAGTGTGCAGGCCTGATTCCCTCCAATAACCAGCTAAAGAGGTAAGACAACCGACTGGGAGCGTACAACAGTAGTGCTAGTGTGAAGGCAATAAGTTGTGCAGTTTGAGGACCAAGTCTTTTTGCTGGGCTACTGCCACATATAAGCGGAAATGGAGATCTCGTAGCACAGTAAGCATTGTCCCAACTGCTGAGACAGAAACTATAGGTTCAAGTCCCACTCTAGGACTTCACAGAAATCACAGAAGTGTTACAGAGCAGAATGAGACCTTTCATAGAAACATAGAAAATAGGACTAGGAGTTGTGAAGTGGAGTCATGCTAGACTCGAAACGTTAATTTTGTTTTTCTCTTCATAGATGATGCCGGAACTGTTGACTTTCTCCAGTACTTTCAATTTTCTTCCAGATATACAGCATTTGCAGATTTTGCTTTTATTACATTTATATAGAGCTACTCACATTCTCAAAAATGTCTAAAAGTCCTTGAAATATAATATATTTCTTTGAAGTGTAGTTACAATTTATTATCCTACCATTGGAACTACTTAGTGAGATATTGGTATTAGCTGGGTGATAAAGGGCCAGTTAATGTATTGTCTGGTAATGCTTCTTGAGAGTGTCCTCCTGATGCCCTGATCACATGCTGCTCTTCATTACATGGGACTACGATAACTTTAGCATTCACTCAGTCAGACAAAAGAGGCATAATTGGTTCATCCTATAAGATTACTATTACAATCTGGGACAGCACAGGGTTAGATACAGAGTAAATCTCCTTCTATACTGGCCCATCAAATAGTCTCAATGCAAGGTACAGCATGGAAACACATGCAGAGTAAAGCACCCTTTATATTGTCCCCTCACACTCTCACAGAATAGATTCAACACAGGGTTAGATATCAAGATAAATCTCCCTCTGCAGGTTCCATCAACCACCCTGGCAGATACAGCAAAGGTTAGAAAGGGAAAGAAATCATTACAATTCTTTCAACCTTTTAAAACGCAGCCCGCCATTACATGAACTCCACATCAATAACTATCTCTCTGATATATTAGCTCTCCTGCTGAAGCTCATCCTCTGAAATTCACTTTCCCACTGTTGCATGAACACAGGGATTTGCTGGAGTTGTTTTCTGAAAATATTTCAGCTTGCTTACATCGAACGGCTTTTTCATTTTCCAGAACTTCCACTGCCTTTCCCTGTATATGCTGAAATGCTTCTCATTTACATTTGTTGTCTGTACTTTAATCTCCTTTTTGTACTCCCAGGAAACAGAGGGAGTTCTGGTGGTCTCACTCCTTCCCATTGCACATTTGCAGCAAATCAACACTCTGTGAGTAATACCAGTGTGGGTTATTTCAATCAGTGTGGGGATGTTTCAGTCAATGTGGGGTTATTACACTTGGTTTGGAATTGTTTCTCAATGTGAGGTTGTTTCAGACAATTGTGGACAAGGTCAGAAATCAGATTACACCAGGTTATAGTCTAACAGGTTTATTTGAAGTCACAAGCTTTCGAAGCATTGCCCCTTCATCAGGTGAAGTGGGAGAGTGCCATTTAGGCACAGAATTTATAGGCAGAGAGATCAATGGGTGAAGAGATCAAAAGATCATACAAATGGTGTGAATGGAGTGTCGACAGACTGAATAACAGGTCTGTACAGGTGATCAAGAGTGTCAGACGGTGTGAGTAAAGTGTCAACAGCTGAATAAGAAACGAAGGGATGACCTATAATAAGGCAGTGCTGGAGACAAACCAAATGACTGGAATAACATAATAGGTATAATTGGTATAAGAGTCGCATGCTGAGGGTCTAACCGAAGTAAAAAGTAATCCAAAACTGTACAAACGAACTAAGATAGAGAGATCATAACAATTTATCAAGGTGATGGTGGAAGATTTTACAGATACAGAACAGTATGGTGGGGTCACATGTAGTGCAACATGAACCCAAGATCACAATTGAGGCCGTCTTCATTCTTATGGAACTTGGCTATCAGTCTCTGCTTGGTGATTCAGCATTTTTGTGTATCTTGAGGCCGTCTAAGAGGACACTTTCCCAAAGATCAGAGGCTGAATGACCTTAACCGCTAAAATGTTCCCCAAATGGGAGGGAACATTCCTGTCTGGTGATTATTACGCGGTGTCCATTCATCCATTGTCATAGTCCCTGCATGGTCATGCCTTGGGGCATCCTTGCCTGCAGCGTATGAGATAGACCACATTGGCCGAGTCACATGAGTATCTGCTGGGTACCACCTTAGTGTTAATTTTCTGAAATTATCCCTCTGCCTCATTTAATTGGATTATAGGTCATCTCTTCGCTTGTTATTCAGTTGATGACACTTTACTCACAACATCTGACACCCTTGATCACCTGTAAAGACCTATTATTCAGCCTGTTGTCACACCACTCACACCATCTGTATGACCTTTTGATTTCTCTGCCCATTGATGTCTCTGGCTATAAATTCTGTGCATGTGTGCTTCTTTCTCACTTCACCATGAAGGGGCGACACTTTGAAAGCTTGTGTTTTCAAATAAACCTGTTGGACTATAACCTGGTGTCATCTGACTTCTGACCTTGGCCAATATCGGCACTTCTACATCTGTCATTGTGGGAATGTTTCAGTCAATGTGGTGCTGTTCCAGTCGGTATGGGGTTGGAACAGTTAGTGAAGAATTGCCTCAGTCAGTGTGGATTGTAACTGTCAGTGTGGGGTTGTTTCAGTTAGTATAGCTTGTAACAGTCTTTATGGGATTGAAACAGTCATTATGGGGTTGAAACAGTCAGAGTGGAGTTCTTTTCATCAGTGTAAGATTGTTGCAGTCAGTGAGAGGATTTTAGAGTCAGTGTGGAGATGTTAGCATCAGTGTTAGGACGTTACAAACAATATGTGGGTGTTACGGTTAGTGTGGGGATCCTAAGTCAATATGGGAATTTTATGTCACTATAACGAATTTGAATGCAGAATACAGGGTAAATGGCAGGATTGTTGGCAGTGTGGAGGAACAGAGGGATCTTGGAGTCCAAGTCCATAGATCCCTCAAAGTTGCTACGCAAGTTGATAGGGTTGTAAAGAAGGCATATGGTGTGTTGGCTTTCATTGACAGGGGAATTGAGTTTAAGAGCTGTGAAGTTATGAAGTAGCTCTATCAAACTCTGGTTAGACCACACTTGGAATATTGTGTTCAGTTCTGGTTGCCTCATTATAGGAAGGATGTGGAAACTTTAAACAGGGTGCGGAGGAGATTTACCAGGATGCTGCCTGGACTGGAGGACAGGTCTTATGAGGAAAGGTTGAGGGAGCTAGGGCTTTTTTCATTGTAGCGAAGAAGGATGAGAGGTGACTTGATAGAGGTGTACAAGCTGATGAGAGACATAGATAGAATGGATAGCCAGAGACTTTTTCCCAGGGCGGAAGTGACTATTATGAGGGGACATAATTTTAAGGTGATCGGAGGAAGGTATAGGGGAAATGTCAGAGGTAGGCTCTTTACACAGGGAGTGGTGGGTGTGTGGTATGCGCTGCCAGTAGTGGTAGTGGAGTCAGATACATTAGAGACATTTAAGCGACTCTTAGATAGGCACATGGATGACAGTATAATGTAGGGTATGCAGGGTAGTTTGATGTTCGTAGGATAATAGGTCGGCACAACATCGTGGGCTGAAGGGCCTGTTCTGTGCTGTGCTGTTCTATGTTCTGTGTTCATAACAGTATAATTATCTCAACAAGGGTTTAACTGTCAGTACCATGCATGTGGGAATGTTACAGCTCTGATCCGTTCTCTGGGCACTGGTTTCTTGGCTGCACATTCCTATTGTACCTGCTCTGATATTTTGTTCCCTGCTATACTCTGACTTTCCTGATTTTAGACAATTTGATCCCTCCATAGACCTCACATGCATCAAATTTTTCCTTTAAGTGCTTTAAGTCTTTTAAGAGGAAGGGGTCTCATCTATAATGTCTCCATTTCCTATAAAGATGCTTAGGACAGAGATGACACTGTGCCTTGTATCTCTTACTGTCTGTAAGATCTTGCGCACTGAATGTGATCTGTTTAACTTTCTGCTGCTGTGGGATTGATACAGTGAGCCCTGTGGAAGAAGGTGAGTATGTTCAATCACATATTGAACTGCTACCTGCTCATTACATTTCCTGATCTAAAGCTCACACCCTCACCTATGGCTCATTTGTGTGGTTTACAGAAGAGGACATGACAATTGCTGAGAAGTTTGTTGAAACAGGTAATAAAATTGTCATTCAATGAGTTGAAGGATATTAGAGAAGAGGGTGGTGTTGAGGAACATGGGGAGAGTGTGGGGTATTTTTCTCTTTATTCTTTCTGTACAGCAATGTGAGCATCACTGGCATGGCCAGCATTTGTTGTCCTTGAATGAAACAAATTGCTAGGCCATTGCAGAGGGTAGTTAAGAGTCAACCACATTGCTGTGGAGCTGGAGTCACAGATAGAGTCTGCAGATTCTCCTCCCTAAAGCGCACATGTGGTTCAGTTCAGTTTTTACAAAAGTTAATTAAGTTTCATAGTCACCATCACCAAGACTAACCTTATATGAAAAATACATTTACTGAATTTATATTCCAACAGCTGATGTGATGGAATTGGAACCCATGATCCCAGAGCAGTCTCCTGGGTTTCCAAATTACTGGTTCAGTAACATTACCGCTGTGGTTATTGACCTTTCTCCCATTGGAAGACATGCTTTTCTAACCACCCTATCTATGCCCATCATAATATTATGTGCATCTATCAGGTCCTTTCTCAACCTTCCTGCTCCAGGTAAAACAAACCCTTCCTATCCAATCTTTCCTCAAACCTCAGACCCTCCAGCCCAGGCAGCATCCTGGTAAAAATCCTCTGCACCGTCTCTAGTGCAATCACATCCTTCCTATATTGTGGTGACCAGTACTGCATGCAGAACTTCAGTTGTGGTCTAAGCAGCATTTTATACAGTTCCAGCATAACCTTTTTGCTTTTGTGCTCTATGCCTTGCCTAATAAAGGCAAGTATCCCATATGCCTTCTTGACTACCTTATATACCTGTCCTGCTCCCTTCAAAGATCTGCGGATATGCACACCCAGGTCCCTCTAATCGTTAGAATCTTCCAGGATCCTGCCATTCACTGTGTAATTCCTTGCCTTGTTAGCCCTTCCCAAATGCATCACTTGACATTTTTCTGGCTTGAATTCCGTTTGCCAGTGTTCTGCCCAGCTGACCAGTCCATTGATATCCTTCTGCTGTTTATGACTTTTCTTCACTATTTACTGCCCTAACAATTTTTGTGTCCTCTGTGAACTTCTTGATCATATCCCCTACATTTTAGTCCAAATCATTAATGTACAAACAGCAAGGGCCCCAGCACTGAGCCCTGTGAAACTCCCAGGAAACAGGCTTCCAGTCACAGAAACATCCTTCTGCCATCACTGTCTGTTTCCTGACTTTCAGCCAATTTTGGGTCCAATGTGTCAATTTACCTTGGATCCCATGGGCTTTCTTGACCAGTCTGCCATGAGGGACCTTATTAAAAGCCTTACTAAAATCCATGTACACTACAAAGTATCCACAAAGGGAAAGGGGCCGGATCCTGAAGGGATGGGGGTGGTGTCAGTTTGTGAGTCAATTATTGAATGATTAACAGTTAAGAGTTACCAGCCAATCATGGGAAGGTGTGATTTGCGTGTTTTTTTTTAAAGGGTGATTTTGCGTGTTGTGTTACTTAGAGATGACTGACCTATAGAGGCATAAATTTCCAAGTTTCTAAGGTTAGTCTTCTTGATAAGAGCATCTAGTTGGAACATCATCCCTAATATCTGCATTTCCAAATGTTGTGCTGAGGTTTTCTTTCCTATCTCCACAGATGAAGAAGCCTTTGAATCAGGTAATTGAGCCTTGTCTGTTTAATGTACAGTGCTAGCAATGGTTCCAATTTAAACTGCAAACAGCCCAAATGACCAATATTCCCCATTGTGGTTCATATTTAGGGTAGAAGGTTGAGACCAGGAATCAGGCTTCCCTCTTCTCTCCCCACTCCATCCTTTAACTTCTCTTCATGATCCTCCTGGGTTACTGATCCAGATCAGGAGATCATTGACAGAAATCTTGGAAAACATGAGATCTCCTTGATCTGTGTTATGCGTTCAAGACTCAAACAGTAAACAATGATACAGTTCTACAGTTGAGGTCAAAACATCGACTGTTTTTGAGAAGGATGGGAGGAGGTGTGGGTGGAATGTAAATGCCAACATAGGCTACCTAGACTGAATGGCTTGTCTCTGTGCTGTACATCCTATGTCATAGCTATGCTGCCATTTCCAATCTGTGCAGCAGCTCTCCTACAGTGAATTGAATCAGACCTCCCAACGCACCAAGGAAAACTGGCAGTGCATTAGGAGAAGTACCTGGAATGACTGTCAATCTATGCAAGTGGAAAAACTTCAAATTAGAGCCTGCAACCTCAAGAAGCTTTTCAAAAAGTGATTTACACGAGAACTTCCGCAGCTGAGGGTCGGCCTAGAACATAGAACATAGAACATTACAGCGCAGTACAGGCCCTTCGGCCGTCTATGTTGCGCCGACCTGTGAAACCAATCTGAAGCCCATCTAACCTACACTATTCCATTATCATCCATATGTTTACCCAATGACCATTTAAATGCCCTTAAAGTTGAATTAAACCTCCCTCTGCATGGCAGCCTGCAGGATTGTCAGGAAATGGAAGAGGGAGGGTGTAAAGTAGAGATGGGAAAGAGGAAAGTGACAGCATTTGTGGAAGGCTGTACAAAAAATATTACCTCCTGCCCTGTCTAAAGATTTGCAGGCCACACTGACTGTATCTCGAGGGAGAGCTTTTTTGTGAGTGAGAGGGTGTAAAAGTGGAACCAGTGGAACAAAAATGTTGTTTGCTGCATGTAAACCTGCAACCAACAGTATTCAGACAGCTCTGGGGATGGCTATAGAAGACTATGATGGACTTGTAATACAATCTAAAATATGCATTATAGATCAGTCCTTCATTGTTGGAATGGCCTGATTTTTATCTCCATTGATATTCCTTTTTCTCCTTAAGTGTTTTAAATGATTCAGCTTATGATCACGACAGTGAAATCGTGACAGTGGAAAGCTTGCATATGGTCTTTCCGTGATTAAATGCTTGAACATTAAATTCCCCATGTAAGTATTTCTATAACAAGATTCCATCATGAATGTTGATATAACAAGTGCAACAGAAATGAATTATGCGCAAACAGGAAGACATCTAGCTTATTTTTGTGATTACCAAACTAAATTGGAGGCTTTTTCACATGTTGCCTGCTATCAATAAACATGTTACTAATATTATGGGGCCACTGTTAATGCTGAAGACTAATTTTAGTCACAATTTGCTGTTGGCTGAGCCACTGAAAGCTCAGCACTAATTTTAGTTGCAAATTGCTGTTTGGTTGGTGACAAGATAACAGAATAAATATCTGTACTTAATGTATTCTTTTTCCAAATTCTTTTCTCTTGTTTGCTTTCTGAAGAGGAACTGAGAGAAGGTAAATCTGCAAAGTTCTATTACGTGAATCCTGAGCCAATGTTAGAATTACAGTCACTGCTGGCCCATACTCACCAAAATTTGCTACATTCCCATAGGGCTGCTCTCTCTTTAGAGAGACTCAGCAGATGGTCAATTTAAGCTGAAGGTCACCACACCTCAGGTGAGGGGTGAGGTTGAGAAGTTGGGGCTTTTATTGGTAACCTCAGCTGGTATAGGAATTGAACCCACACTGTTGGCATAACTCTGCATTGCAAACCAGCCATCCAGCCACTTGAGCTAACTGATCCCCATACCCACTGCTCTGATCACTGCTACTCAAGTGCAGTGCTGGCAATGGAGCAACTGAAAAAGCTAAACTTCTTTGTTATGTGAGGCCAAGCTGTTGTCTGAAGCTTATACATCAGATGTCAATGAGGTGCGAAGGGGGAGTAATTCAGCATAGCCCAAGCCAAACATTCAGGAGCAGTGATCATTCCCAGTGCTCAGTGAGTGTTAACAGAAAGATGTGAATTAATTTCCAGACCAAATTCTCTGAACGGTACTTAAATTCATGATCTTCTAAACCAGACAAAGCAATGTTTGTCTGTCCATTAAACCAAGCTTTGTTTGGGAATGGGCTAGGGTTTTGCTTACCATCATCTCCCACTGTCTCCGAAAACAACAAAACTTTGTATTAACATTGCATTTTAGCAAAGTAAACCATTTCGAGATATTTCACAGTTGCATTATGAAAAGAAATTTGATACCTAGGCGCTTAAAGAGATAATCAAGCAGAAAACCAAAAGATTTGTCACAGAGGATAGGTTTTAAGAAACATGGTTAAAAAGGAAAGTGAGATAGAAAAATGGAAAAGTTTGGAAGGGGACTTTCAGAGCTCAGAGCTTTGATAGCTGAAGGCACAACTGCCAATGATAGAACGATTAAAACTGGGGACATGCAAGAAACCAGAATAAGAGAAGCTTAGATACCTAGGAGGATTGGGTTGGAGGAGGGGCTGGAGAGGCTTAGAGAGGAGAAAGGTTTTGGGAAGATTTGAAATCAAAGAAGAGAATTTTAAAATTGAGTTGTTGCTGAACAAGGATCCAATGTAGGTCAGTGATCTAAATTGATTGGAGAATGGGGCTTGGTGTGAATTAGGACACAGACAGCAGTGGTTTAGGTGAGTTTAAGTTGATAGAGAGTGGAAGCAAGGTAGCCAGCCAGGAAAGAATTGAAATAGTCAAAAGGGAACAAAGACAAAGCAAACTCACGAGAATTAGTCTCGGATAACAAGGTGTAGAGCTGGATGAACACAGCAGGCCAAGCAGCATCAGAGGAGCAGGAAGGCTGACGTTTCGGGCCTAGACCCTTCTTCAGAAAAATGACAGCTTCATTTTACTGAAGAATGGTCTAGGCCCTAAACTTGTTATCTCAGATTCTCCAGCATCTGCAGTTCCTACTATCTCTGAAAGAATTAGTCTCAGTTCTGCTTGAATGTTTTGCCTGTGCTCACTGGCCAATCTGGTACCTGGTTCAGTCATGTGGCTTACACCCATGGGGGTCCACTATTGTGAGACCAAAACTGCAGGTGCTCTCGGAAAGGTGAATGGGGATATTGGGGGGAGGAAAAGGATGGAAATTGGCGTAGGTTTGGGGAATTGGCTAGGAATAGAATCTTTTTTTTAGAGGAATGAATCAGTATTAAGTTGGGATTATCTCATCCAAAAACTTATAGCCCCAGTTACTCCTGATAATGCTGGTACTGGCTGAGTTACCAAGATCTAACTGCCATAATTTAGGCTCTAGTGTATGTAATTTGAGATCTAATGTGTGTGAATTAAGAGGTGATTTAACATCTGCCCTGTTCTGTGCTCTCTTTCCTGGTGATATCTCCCTGGTGTACAGAAGATGCTGAATTCAATGGATATAACCAAGGATTGTACATTGGTGGGTCATAGCTCATTCACTCCCCTCTGCGGCTGCTTTATGTTTGTTTCCCATTCTGTCTCCTGTCCCTCAGATCTGTCTTTCTGCTGCCCTCCTTGGCAGATGGATCCAAAATTCACCCTGACTGCTGGCACATTGCTCTGGCACCAAAACCTACCTGCTCAGCTTCAGCAACCAAACATTGCCAGGGAACTGTGGGAAGATTGCCCAATACCTAAAAGATTTGTCAGGGAAAGATGGAAGATTCCACACCACACCCCCATTACACCAATAGTGTCATGGAAAGAGGGAATTTAGCCCATCCAATACACTGGTCAGTGAAAGGGGATCACTCTTTATCTCTTCCAAAATCCCCACCTCTCAGAATCACAGAATTGTTATGGTACAGATGGAGGCCATTCAGCCTGTCATGTATGTACCAGCTATCTGATCATTTTGACTCATTGCTCATCTCCTGCCTTTTTCTCATAACGCTGGACATTGTTTCTATTTACGTAATCATCTTATGCCCTCTTGAATATCTCAATTGAACCTGCCTCCATCATACTTGCAGATAGTGCATTCCAGACTCCAACTATTTGCTGTGCAAAAAGGTTTTCTCTCACCTCACATTTGGTTCTTTTGCAAAACACTTGAAATCTGTGCCCTACTTTTACAAGCTGGAACAATTTCTCCACGTCTGCTTTGCCTAGACCCATCGCAATTTTGATCTGATAAACTGTTTGGGGGAAATGAAGCAGCAGTTGTCATTTCTTTGCCAGAATGGGTGGAGGGGGAAAGGCAGTGGAGAAATATATGTTTGGAACTCACCCATGACCTGCAATTATCATTAAGGACAAACAGAATGAACCTGGATTTCTTTGGTGTCTCTTCCACAACTTTCAGTTTGACTCATCCCTGCCCGTTAACATTCTTGTCCCTCCCTTACAGCAGGATTCAGGAGGAGCATGCGACTGTGCCGCAGGAAATCGAAGAGCAACCAGTTGCTGACCTCTGCTCGCTGTCCAAGCAGCTGTTATACCAGCACAGTGTCACCGTATGAGGAGGTGATGAAATACCAGCGCAGCCCCACTGACAGACACAGGTTGATTGTCCTGGTGGGTGAGTAACCAATCATCTAGTTTAGAAGCAGATTAAACCATCTCAGGTGGAGGGTTCATAGCCTAATGTGGGCTGAAGGTTAGCTACTTTCTCACTGAAACCAGGTCACACCCTCACATTGCACACACCGTGTGAAGGGTGCAGTTCCACAGCATGGCAGTAGGGGCAGACTCCTGTCCCACAATTACAGACTCTAGGGAAAAGGCCTGGACACAGTGTGTAGACTGGACAAAGGCATAGGGCCAGACAGGATTCAGGCGGCAGAGATTTAGCTGAGCTGAAATCCAGAGCAAACGGAGACCAGGAAACCTGCCAGGAGAGATGCAATAGTCACATCTGGAGATGACAAAAAATGGATGAGGGCTTCAGTAGTGAAGGGGCTGAGGCAGGGACGGAGATAGGCAATGTAACAGTGAGGTCAGTCGTAATTCTATTGGAGAGGATATGTGGTCACAGGCTCGGCTCTAAATTGCCTATGATGTTGAGGTAGTGAACAGTCTGAAGCAATAGCCAGGGTGCACTTCCTGAAGCAGAGATGGGGTCAGATGACAATTGTTTTTTTTGCTTCCTGATGTTTAAGTGGGGGAAATTGTGACTCAATCAACAGTGGAGGGGCAGTGATGCACTGGAGAAAATTTGTTAGAGTGATGCTGCTGTTAATGTGTAATGTGAAACCTTACTCCAATGCAAGAGTTGCTGTGGCTACAACTGAGTAGGAAAGAGTTGAAACAAGTCAGGGCAGTCCCACTGAGCAGGGCAACAGAGAAGACGGTTTCTTTTCAGTGTTTTGGTGAGTCCCCCACCACCGCTAAAGTTATGATGACGAGTGGGAATTTGAATGTTCTCTGGGTGGGTAATGTCCTGTGATAATTGGGCACATCAATGGCAGAGACTAATTTGGTTTCCTTGTTTTCCGGATACATAGGTCCCTCGGGAGTGGGGGTAAATGAACTGAGAAGAAGGTTGATTGAGTCAGATCCACGCCTCTTCCAAAGTCCAGTACCACGTAAGTCAAGATATCTGTGTAGCATCACCCACAGAGGCAACAATTTGCACACAACTAGCTGATTGGCAGCGAACTATGAGATCCTTTAATGGGAGAGACAGACTTCACCATCTGTTATGCAGGCTCGTAAAACTCTATTTTCAGGAATATAGACATGGGGGTGGAATTCATTTAGGCGACCTGGATTCTGCTGGGTGAGGTGGATCAGGAGTGACTGGCCCACTGTGAACATAAGGTGTCTGGCCAATAGGACAAAAGGCACCCAGGGCCCCTCCTATTAGTTAACAGTGGCCTGCCTCTCCAATGATGATGCCTCTGATTCCTGGGCCAATCCCTTTACCCCAGTTTCACTCTCTTGGCTGTGCACTTCCATGACTCATTCATCCAACAATATTGGGGTGTGTGTGATCTCCACTGGACTGATTTTAGCCCTCTCACAAGTTGCTGCCCCTGTACTTAATGTGTCAACGTATGCTTCTCAAACTGTACCATCAGCCCCACCCTCTCCAATGTATAGTCCTCAGCTTTTTAAAAAAATTTCTTTCATACAGTGTAACCATTGCTGGGTAGGCCATCATTGATTGCCCTTCCCTAACTGCCCTTCAAAAGATTGGGGGCCATATTCTTGAACTGCTGCAGTCCTTGGGTGCAGTATCCCCACAGTGCTGTTAGGAAGGTCGTTCCAGGATTTTAATCCATCAATACTGAAGGAATGGCAATATAGTTTCAAGTCAGGATGGTGTGTGACTTGGAGGGGAACTTGTAGGTGGTCCCACATATCTGCTGCCCTTGTGCTGTGTGGTAGAGGTCACATAATTGAAGACAGGTGTTAAAGAAGAGGGGAAGAAGCCTGTAACTTTCCAAATGGCTTCTGGTAAAAATGTTTTGAGCTACCTGCTTGGAAAGACACCTGGCTTCAACATGGTAGCTTTAACCAGTACAGGATCTGATGGCCTATGATCCCCAATCACTACTTGCTTAATCCCAAGAGGTGCATTTAAGATACTTTCTGTTCAATCTGTTCAGACGTGTTATGACACACCTCCGCAGCCAAGCCTCCTGGCTGAGAGGTAGAGACACCACATCTCCACCACAAGAGCCTCTAAGAGGCGCATTTAAAGCTAAATGTCTTTTAACTACCTGCTCTACAGTCTTAATTGGTTTCTCACTTTTTGCATGTGGATTAGCTAATTTGCTATCTTCCTGCCGGCCATTTAACTAAGCCATCAGGATTCCTAGTCTCGTGACTAATTCCCGTGATTCTATAGACATTCCTAAATGACTTCTGCCTCTGATCCTGACCTGTTGATTGTCCCAAATTTTGTCTACTGTCCTATCAATGGACCAATAGGTCAGTCAGCTCCATAAATTGCTGAGATATTCTTAAGATCATGGATGATCATCTACAATCAATTTATTTCCCTACCCTCTCCTCGATTCTCTTAGTTCCCAAAAGCTGAAAAAGTTTTGGAATATATTCAACAACTGAGCATCTACAGGATTGAGGGTAGAAAATTCTAAAGACTTTCGATCTTCTTCTGGATGAAGCAATGTCTTTTCATCTCAGTCCTAAATGGCCAACCTCAGACAATGATCCCTAGTTCTCGACACTCCAGCCAGAGAGAAATAGTCTCTCAGCATCAATGCTCTAAAACCATCTCAAAATTTGACATTTGTCAATGAGATCACTTTTCATTCTTCTAAACTCCAGAGAATATTAGCCCATTTTGCTCAATATCTCCTCAAGGGACACTCCTCTCACACCAGGAATTAATCGAGCCAATTATTTTCAAAGGCAACTATATCTTGATTTAGGTAAGGAGAACAAAATGGTCCAGGGTCAGATGAAGAATGAATTTGAGTGGAAGCTGGAGGATGTGAGTCTAGGCCCCTAGGGTAGATTCTGTATTTACCAATCCACATTCAATGTGTATAACTTCAACCCTGCTCTGGGTCAGCCTGGTTGTCCTACACCTTGTCCTTGCAGATACCACTCGGCCACCACTCAGCTACGAGGAAGATGGGCGAGAGTATTACTTCGTTTCCAAGAAAACATTTGAAGCCATGGCCTTGAGTCACAGGTGAGGACACACTGGGGTGAGATCAAAAATGGTGAATGGTTGATGGGGACTATGTTGGCTGAAACAACAGTCCTATTGGGTAACAAGGCACTGGAATGATATGAAATTCATTGCAATGACACTGCTATTGGAAACACTTTCTAAGCTGTCCATTGCAAGTGGAACAACATTGCCTTAGGGATGTGTTCTCATACAGTCTAATGGTCACAGAACATCAATGGCAATGGGAGTCTCAGCTCATCCACCTGTCTGGAAGTTGATATGAATAATAGAGCAGCAGAAACTGTATCTAAACATGAGTTTGGGAGTAGGGAGGAAGCAGATGAAGTGTGTGCAGTGATCACGCTTGGGTCATGTTGATAGGGGTGGAAGTGAAATGGTTTGACTCATCTACAGAAGGATGACTTCAAAGTACACCCCATCTGACTCCCCACCACTTCCAGCAGCCTCAGAGTTTAAAGGGAGGGACAGCACAGTGAGGCAACTACTACAAAGGTTCCAGCTGTTGTGGGCAACATTGTGCAGGGATGTATATATTCCAGTAGCTCATGGGTCTGAACAGTAGTCAGCCTAAAACCAAATAATTCTGTAGTTTCACCACACGGTGAGAATCATGACAAATCGAATGGATCGAATGCTTTTCACCCTAGCGTTTAAATGAGGTTTCTGAGGAAATCGCAAATGCTTTGGTCATAATCTCTAAGCTTCCCTTGATGCAGGAATAATCTCTTTTCTATTTTAAAATGATAAAGGTAGCTCGTTATTTAAGAAATACCAGGAAGCAAAGACAGGAAATTACAGACCTTTTAGTCTCACATCTGTTGTGGGAAACTTGTTTGAATCTATAATTAATGACACAGTGACTGAGCACTTAGAGAGAACTTTGCGTTTATTACAGAGAGTCAACACGGATTTGTAAAAGGGCTGGTCATTTCAAACAAATCTGATTGAATAACAGTGTACTAAATTGAAGACAAATTATTAACTTGGTTAGATGAATAGTTAGATAGTAGGACAGAAAGAGATGCAATGGATATGCACTTAAATTAAATGTAACTGGAAGTGCTCCAAGAGGGCTTATTTTGGGGTCTCAACTATTCACTATATCCATAAGTGATTTAAATAATATATATCCAGTATGTATATCCATTTATATCTAGGTTAATTGATGATACAAAGGATAGTAGCATATTAAGCAATGTAGAAAGGAGCATAAATCATAAATAAACAGATTAAATTAATGTACAGAAATGTGACAGATGGATTTTGATGCAAGTGTATGTGAAGTCACCTCACGTGGATCAATAAAAGGGGCTGTTTTTTTTAAAAATTTTTTTAAATGGTAAAAAGCTTGTAAATGCGCAAGTTCAAGAAAATATTAAGTACTCAGGTTATTAAATGTAGTGATTAAATACAAAAGGAATTCAAAAAGGTTTATGAAAATTTAGCCTATTTACCTAAAAACATAGAAAATAGGAGCAGGAATAGGTCATTCAGCCCTTTGAGCCTGCCCCATCATTCAATATGATCAAATCTAATAATTCAACTCAGTATCCTGTTCTCACTTTCTCCCCCATACCCTTTGATCCCATTAGTCCTAATAACTATACCTGTTTCCTTCTTGAAAACATTGTGATTCGGCTTTAACAACTTTCTGTGGCAGAGAATTCCACAGCCTCTCTGGGTGAAGAAATTTCTCCTCATCTCAGTCTTGAATGGCGTATCCTGTATCTTAACCTGTGACTCCCTGGTTCCGGACTCCTTAGTCATTGGGAACATTCCTGCCTTGTCCTGTTAGAATTTTATAGGTTTCTATGTGGTCCCCTTCATTCTTCTAAACTCCAATGAATATAGTCTAACCGATCCAGTCTCTCTTCATATCTCAGTCCTGCCATCCCAGGAATCAGTCTGGTAAACCTTTGTAGCATGGCCTCTGTAGACAGAACATCGTTCCTCAGATGAGGAGCCCAAAACTACGTACAATATTCCAGATGTGGTCTCACCAAGGCCCTGTACAGTCACAGCATGATATCCCCGCTCCTGTACTCAAATTGTCTCATTGTGAAGGCCAACATACCACTTGCCTTCTTCCCCATCTGTTGCACCTGCATGCTTATTTTCAACAATTGGTGTACAGTTATCATTGCACCTCTCCCTTTCCCAATCTATCATTATTCACATGATAATCTGCCTTCCTGTTTTTGGCACCAAATTGGATAACCTCACACTGATCCACATTATACTTCATCTGTCACACTTTGCCCACTCACTCAACTTGTCCACATTATACTGAAGCATCTCTGTTTTCTCCTCCCAGTTCACCCTTACACCCAGTTTTGTAGCTAGGAGTCTTGAATATAAAGAGAAGGAGTAGCTGCAGCTACACAAAACCCTGATTTGTTCACGTCTGGAAAACTGCCTACAGTTCTTGGGATCACAACTTGGAAAGGATGTATTATCTGTAAAAGAACAGCAGCACAGATTCACCCGAATATTATCAAGGCTCCAAGGATTAGCTAATGATGAACTAGGCTTTTATTCCCTAAGTTGTCTGAGGCTTTTAGAATTTTGAAAGGAATCTATTGGATAGACAAGGAGAGACAATTTCTGCTGGCAAGAAAGTTGAGGACAAAGGAACATAACTTTAAAATCAGGAGTAAAGTCATGAAACATGCAGTGGAATGTGGAATACAGTCCCTATGAAGCAGTTATGTACTAACTCAACTATCAATTTAAAATCTAAGATCAACAGATTTTTGCTAGCCAAAGGTATTTAGCAATTATTGAACCAACATATGGAGCTAGGACAATATTAAATGCCAGCAGGGTTGGAAGGAACAGGGACAGGCCAATTTCCTAATTTATGAGTTCATAGAGTTAATATACCAGAGTTACATGCTTCTGTGAGAGATTTAATATATTGGTAGTCTGAGTTTCAACAGGAGACTTAATGTATCAGTGGGGCGAGTTTTGATGTGAGTTAATGTAGTACAGTGATGGGATTCATTAGGACATTTAGGGTAATAAAGAGTGAAGACAGGAGTTAGTTCAAGGAACTGTGCACCTGAGATTTTATGAAAGAGAAGAGTCTCTGATCTCGTCCTGACATTGATTGTGAAATATGAATGAAAGTTGAAACTAATATCATTCTGTTTGTGAAGGGTCTTCTTCTCACTTCAGGTTCCTGGAGTATGGAGAGTACAAAGGCCATCTGTACGGCACGAGCAGGGAGGCTGTGCGCTTGATTCTCGACTTGGAGTTAATTTGTGTCATTGACCTGGAACCACAAGTAAGTGTTCATGTACAAATCAAAGGGTAAAGAACAGCTAGACTGTTCTGCAATGATCATCTTGATCAATCGCCCTTTAATTACGAGGGGGTGGCTTTATTTTCTATCTCTGGTTCTTACTTCAACCTATCACCTTACCCTTGAGTTGGCACCTACATTAAAAATCTTACCATCATATAATATTGTATTGTGTTTACAGCACAAGAACAAGTCATTTGGCCCAACTTTATTCTCCACATGGACCTCCTCCCATTCCTCATTATCTAACTCCATCAACCTCACTCAGAGTTGTCATGATCTGAGACCCCCCTGAAAAGGTAATAGGAGCTGATTATAAAAATCATTTTAAAAGGAGGTTGAACAAACACTTGAGGATGACGAACTTCCAAAGTTATGGACAAAAGGTGGGGTTGTGACTGGATAAAAGATAGGGGTGTGAGACTAAACACAATTAGTTTTTCAAAGAGTCATCATAAGCAAAATGGGCCAAATGACCCACTTCCACACAATAAGGTTTTTGTCTCAATGAATATACTGTTTTATGCCTTTCTCTCTTACCTGCTTATCTACATTAAATGGATCTGTGCTACTTGCCTCAATTATTCCCTATGGTGGCAAATTCTACATTTACTCTTCTGACTTCCTATTAGATTTATTGGTGACTGTCTTATATTTATGATCCCGAATGGTGGTCACAGATTCATATAATTATTATAGTGTGGAAGGAGGCCATTCAGCCCACAGTGCTTTCACTGGTTCTATTATCTAGTGACAATTTCCTGCCTTTTCCCCATCTCTCTGCACATCGTTACGTTCCAAAACAAAAAAATCCAATGCCCTCTTGAATGCCTCAAATGAACCTGCCTCCACCACATTTGCGTTCAGTGCATTCCATAGCCTAGCAAGTTACTTTGTGAAAATGTTTTTTCTCACATTACCCTTGCTTGGAAGTCTGTCTTGGAAGGGGAAGCCTCTTTTCTGTAGCAACTGTATCTATTCCTTTCAGAAACATACAGGCCTCTATCCCATTCGTTCCCCACAGTTATAACTTCACAGTGCTGGTATCATTTCAGTAAATCTTTTTAATACCTTCTTTTATAACACGGACACCAAAAATACGAACATTGCTCAATGTTAACAATTTTATCTGTTTTTCAATGTTATCCCAGTGCTTGAATGAATGCCAGTGCTTTGTTTTTTTATTTTTATCGACTCCATTAACCTGCTTTGCTACTTCTAATGCTCTGCTCCCATACTCCAAAGAGTATATGTCCTCCTTATGCTTCCTATCAAAATGTACCATCACTTTTCTCCACTATAATAGCAACTACACTTCCAGTGTACTTTGTTGGTTGTATAGCTGCCTGAACCATCCTTATGTTGTGAAATGTGCCACAGAAATGCGAGTATTTTGGTTCTTCAATTTTGAACAGATTCACCAATAATGTGCTCATTCTTCACCTTTATCCATGTCTCCCTGTATTATATTGCAGTACTTCGTCTTTGTTACTACCTTTTTGTTAACAATTGTTTGGTGTTGATCACAATTGCGCTTCTCATTCCTGAGTCCAAACTGTTTTATGTACATGGTAAACAACAGCAGTCCCAGCTCTGATCTTGTGGCAAACCCCTCTCATCCTAATCCTGATCTTTGTTTTCCATTTTTTGCAGTCAACTTGCTATCCATAATACTAATTATCTCCTGACAGCATATGTGAGCACTTTCTGCCACCCTCCTTCAAACTTCTCACTTGTCACACTCCTAACTTTCCTGGCAATGTATCACTGAAATACTCTTCTCCTTTTCTCACTTAGTCAGCTCCTCATCCGCTGTGAGGTCAAGGTCCACTCAAATTCCCTCCACTTTTGCTCTTCCATTTTCTCCCGAATCCTGTCCTCACTCGATCTCTGCTTGTCTGAATCTGCTTCGCTCAGGAAAAAAACCTACTCCCTCTCATTCAACTTGTTCCTGTCTGCCCATCCCACCTATCACAAGTCCATTGTTGTCATTGTCCTGCTCAACAATTCCATCAGGTCCAGTCCTAATCCCCTCAAAGTTGTTCCACATCCACTCTTCGCCTGGTATAATTTCCATTCTTATACTTCTAAATCTGAGGATCAATATGTAGATCAGACAATGCATGAGATGGACAAAACAATCAAAGAACTGCACAATCTGGAAATCAGCAACAAGAACAGTTCTGAAGAAGTGTCACTGGATCTGAAACATGAACTCTGCTTTCTCTCCATAGATGCTGCCAGTCCTGCTCAGTTTTTCCAGCAATTTTTGTTTTTGTTGCATTAGACTGAACTGGTGGTTCAGTGCAAAAACTGCTGGTGCTTTAGGCTATTATGTGTCTCATTCTCCACTTCCTCCTGCGACTACAGGATTGGTATGGTGGATGAGGATAATCCCCAAGCTCCTTTCCCCAGCAGCAAAATGCTTCTCTTAGTTCTGTATTCTTAGTTTCCTTCTCAGACTTGCTTCTAATCTCAAATATGGGATGCTGACGGATTATTTAAATCTCTAAAATTGGGACCATTTGTACAGACGCCTCACCCACCTAATCTTCCCTTACCATCCTACAAATCTGGCCTCACTCAAACCATTCTACAATTGAGTTGACTTAGAAACCAATCGGCAACCTTTCCCTGAGGTACAAATTGTTGCGACTGTTTGAAATTTGGCATTCTTGGATTTGCCTAATGAGAACAAAACAAAAATCTTTTTCAACAAGATTCAATGGATTTTCTTAACACACTCCATGGTCAGCTCAGATGTGTCTACACTATCTCATACCTTTGTTCCTCCCAAAGCTTTTGCCAACTTGCATGCTGTCTATTAATGACAACATCTTGCTCTACCATTCCAAGACTGCATCAATATCTTTGACCACTTATGTAATGTTTCACAAAAGGTCATCTTTAACTTAAACACTGGCAGCACTAAAGAGATCCTATCTGGCTCCCATTAAAATCTCTACATCCTTGTACCAGCCTTTGCCCCTTGCACTTCTCCAAAGCCTACACATCTTTCGTAAAGCATGGTGTCCAAAAGCAGATAAAATACTCCATCTGAGGCTGAACTAGTGTCTTATATAAGTTCAAATAAACTCCTTCTCTTGTACTCCATGCCCCGATTAATAAACGCTCGGATTTTGAGGGTACCACATGAATTATTAGCCACTCTCTGTCCGGCAACCTTCTGCCATTCCTTGCTCTATCGTTATAGCTTTGCAAGTTTATTTCCCGTGAGAGCTAGTTCAATTTCCTTTAGAAATCACTGATCAGCCCCTCATTCCTTCTTATAGCTTTGTGTTCCAAAATGTCTTCTTCATTTTTTTTATTTGATTTGCATTCTCATGACAGCTTCATTACAATTGCAGAGCCTTCATCAGTCTTGAACCCACGTTCTTCCTAAATTACTCCACCTCACCATGTTTCTGACCTCTTCCTAAAGCCTCTGAGATACCTTGCTCAATTGCTAGGCGTCCAGTAATTTTCCCTGTCTCTTCCACCACTGTGTTTTTCGTGTCTGCTCTTCAAACTGCTGTGAAACATAGATTACTATGTTAAAGCTGTTGGAAAAATGCAAGCAGTGTTGTTGAAAAGAAAGTGGGATACAGAGAATGGACCATTTGAGATGCATCTCTCAAGTTAAGATCACTGAAAGGGCAAATAAAATGTCAGGATGTGAGAAGATTTTCTTTCTGTCGCAAATTCTCAAATTGGAATGCAGCACCAGCAAAGGTGGAAGCAGATTCAATCATAACTTTCAAAATGGAAGTGGATAAATAGTGAAAAAGAAAACAAAAATGCAGGGCTGTAGGAAAACAGCAGGAGGCTTGGAAACTATTGGATAATCCTTTCAAAGAGCCACAACAGACACATAGCTAGATGGCCTACTTCAGTGCTTTATGATTCTATATACAGCTGAATAAGTGCAGCGTAATTTACGAGGTGATGGTGGGCTTTACAATGCAAAGACTTAACATGAATTTCTATGTAAAATACAATGTGACTGGGATGGCGGGCAAGGCGAGTTAGTGTGTAGTTTGCCAATACAAGATAAGATTCCTGCTAGATTCATGACTGTGTTGACAAGTACTTTGACTTTCTACTTTACAGAGAATTCCAGAGGCACGGACAAAGGAGTTAAAACCCTTCATTATATTCATCAAACCTCCAAGCATCAGGCGCCTGCAACAAACACGAGCAAAAAGCCGTATCATCACCGAGTATTATGTAAACAGATCTTTCAAGGTGGGTTTGCATTTCAATAACCTTTTTGTTGCCATTCCAAATTATTGACACTTAGCCATTAGGGGAAGATTTTGACACTGACGTTCCAATAATAGAAAGTATTTCTGGACACCTCGCTATAGTCACTGGTACATCGAATAAGGTCATCATTCTGATGCCTGAGACTGACCAATTCCAAATTCAGTCTGGCTGGATGTGACCAGGAAACAGAAACTAGAAATATTAATCAGCAACTGCCATTAAATTCAGCAGGATATGGTGGATATCCATTCTTTCAGGTTCCCCGCATGTAAACCAAAACCATCACTCAACATTGTCTTCCTATAAATATCAGTGCCACTATCTCTCCATTTGTATTAGTCACTTGCTCCTTTATCACATTCTCTCTCTCTGTCTCACTCTCTCTCTGTGTTTGTATCTCTCTACCTCCCTAACTCCCTCACTCCTCGTATCTCTATTGCTCCCTGTATATCTCTCTGTCTGTCTCTCTCTATCACTGTCACGCCCTGTATCACTCCCCTACTCCTGTATCATAGCATGGCCTCTCTCCATATATAAAACATATATTTTGCATTCACAGGAAGAAGATTTACAAGAGATGGAGGATGTATCTGAGAAGATGCTAGACTATTTTGGACATCTGTTTGACTGTGTGATTGTGAATGATGAGCTCCCAGACACCCACATGCAGCTACTTTGTGCTGTAAAGCGAGCTCAGTCTGAACCATACTGGGTGCCAGCAGCTTGGCTCAATTCAGACATGAGTGCTTAATTCCTTCTCCATTGGTGTTAGCTGTGGGCGAGTTTGTGTAAAATAGATGGTAATGCCATATGGATATTTGATAGGGCAGTGTAGAGGAAGATTTAACTTGCATCCAACCCTGTGCTATATCTGCCTGGGCATAAAATTGAAAGTTTTGAGTGATGAGAGCCTTTCCATTGGTAAGTAAAATAATACAGATCAAAACTAAACCTCAAAATTTAAATGCAGTATCCTGTTACACAGGGAGCAATATATCATGATGCAAATTATCTGGTGAGTGCTAGATACTGTATAAATGTTGTATGATAAATAATAAAATCATGTTGGTCATCTGCTTTACCTGTGATTCTATGATTATTATTTTTCCCTTTTTTCCGCTTCCTATAACCTTCCTCATTTTAATGTTAATGCTTTTCTCAGTTCTTTCCTCTCCTGGAGTTGCAGAGTTCTGCTGCACTGCAACCATAAATGATAAAAAAAAACTCCATAACAACTTATGGGACTGAGCAGTTTGCTTCCTCAGTACTCCAAACTCAACATCCAATCCCCTCAGTCACAAGCTCAGAGTGAATCCAATCTACACGACACACTACAGCAATTTGAAAAGATCACTTCAACTCCCTTGAGACCTCCATCACTGAAACATTTGATATATTGACTTATTCCAATATCATTGAGGACACCATCACCTTCAAATCACACAAACCCCAACTTGGAAATATATCAGTGATCATTCACCTCTGCTATGTCAAAATCCTGGAATTCCTTGCACCACTCCATCATCAGGGCACTATCATCTTAAACAGAAGGTTCATCACCTACTCCTGGGGCAAACCAAGGATGGGTAGCAAATGTGCCCATGCCAACAGTGTCCACATCGCAAAAAAGAGAAATGAATACTGCATTGCCGTAATGGTAGATAAGTACAACCCATTCCCAGCACCGAGGAATGTCTTTTTCATACTTACGCCATTGGTAAATTACACAGTGCTGCACATCATAGTCACTCACCAGACTGATACATAATACAGAGTGTTTGGTCATTCTCAGATGGCATTATGTTTCGCTGTGCTAGACACAGCCACAAAAGCAATTGGAAGTAGGTGTATGGTCTGTTCTTTCATCCTGTAGTTATCAAATAGCACTGGGCAGTGATTGGTCAGCATTTCCGGAGTGATACATCAAACACACATCCTGAGATTGCTTCAAAGATAGTAGGAACTGCAGATGCTGGAAAATCTGAGATAACAAGGTGCAGGGCTGGATGAACACAGCATGTCAAGCAGCATCATAGGAGCAGGAAGGCTGACGTTTCGGGCCTAGACCCTTCGCCTCCCCAGTTCCGGGGGATTGTTATGTCCCACTATTTACAGTGAATGAGTCCCCAGAGATTACAGTACATTATCCCCAGTCAGTAAATTACCCTTCCAGTTTACAGTATATTACCCACAAAGTTTATAATACTTCACTGCAATCATTACATTACATTATATTACCCCAGATTTTGCAGTACATTACCCCATTCAATATATTACCCACAAAGTTTACAATACTTTACTGCAAGATTACAGATTATTACCTCGACAATTACAGTCACTATCCGGACAGACTATATTGCAGCAGATTACAGTTTATTAGTCCCAGGATTACAGTACTTTACCGTAATCATTTCTGTACATTATCTCATTCATTACATTATATTGTCCCCACAAATCACAGAATATTACGCCCAGAAATCACAATACATTTTGCTCAGAAATCACAGAGACTTCGGTACATTATTCCCAGTTTTCTTGGTACAGCATCCTCGTGATTACAGTACATGACCTCCAGTAAATACTGTCTATTACTGGCAGATTTGACTGGACCTGATCACAGCTAGGACCCGCCTCCACACATTGATTGACGATCTCTGTACCAATCAGTGACAGTCGACGCGGTGACCCGGAACTGGTCGGCGGGGAGCGCTGACCCCGAGTGCCTTGGCTTGCCATAGCAACAGGCAAGCGGCATGGAGAGAAGGGAGGAGGTGGTGAGTACCCGGCCGGCACCCTGGGAATGGGGAATGGGGAATGGGGAATGGGGTATGAGGTATGAGGTATGAGGGATGAGGGGAGGAGGGGAGGAGGCAGTGTTTACCCCACTCTCTGTCGCTGAGGACTATGTTCCGGACCGGCAGCTCTTCCCTCTAGTGACGGCTACTATTGCGTGGGGGCGGGATGTGGTGACTATTTGCCTCAGTACCCGGGGGCTGACTCCATCCAGTTTGCTCAGAGATAGTAGGAACTGCAGATGCTGGAGAATCTGAGAAAACAAGGTGTAGAGCTGGATGAACACAGCAGGCCAAGCAGCATCATAGGAGCAGGAAAGCTG